GTGAGCATTTCTTCATGTGTCTGTTAGCTGCCTGAATATCTTCTTTGGTGAAGTGCCTGTTCATATCCTTTGCCCATTTTTTAATTGGGTTATTTGTCTTTTAGCAGCTGAGCTCTTAACCATTGCACCACCAGGGCTCCAAGTCTCCTATAGTGTATATAAAACTACTAAAATACAACTGCTTGAATAAAGTCCTAGAAAAAAATGTCGAACACAAGCGTATTGTGACTTAGTGAATCTTTTTTAAGTTTGTCATTTTTTAGAGATTTTATTATAAACACTCTGTAGAAAGAAGTTTCGTGGGAATTATCAGCCTAGAAATTTTGGTATATATCCACAATGGGAAGAAAGGAATTAATTTGTTTTCAGTTGGGATTTACATTCAAAGGATCATTCACTGAAACAAAAAGTCATTACTAGGTACAGAGGGTAAAAATGGTAGTATTTAATAAAGAATAATTACACCTTACATTTGCATTGTGTTTACCGTTAAAAAAAAATGTTTTCACATGCCATTTTATTCCCCCAGTAACCCAGTGAGATACGTATTTTTAACTCCTGTTTTAATAGATTTGAAAGTGAGGAGATGTTCATTGACTTGCCCAAAGTCAATAGATGGTAGATGTTAGAATTGGGACCTTCTGATTCTAAAGCCCTCAGACTGTTTTCTGTTACAATTTCCTAAGAGTTGTGTGCAGCAACAACACATGGACAGTTTTGGCAGAGAAGGGATATCTAGGACCAATTTTAGTGACGCTAAAAGCACATCTGAAATTAGGAGTCTGAAAAACCTCATGTGGGAGAGGAAGGTGATAGGGTTGTGCCCAGAGGTTAGACCGTACACCTTTGCACTCTAGCTGTGCAAAATGTAATACTTGTGATCTTTTGACTTTTCTGTGGGCTGATTGGAAGGAGATATCAGTGCTCAAAGATGGTGAGAGATGAATTGATACCTATTGTACTACTTCTTAGAGTCCTGGTGGTCCTGTGGTTAGGGGTTTGGCTGTAACCTAAAGGTCGGCAGTTCGAATCCACCAGCTGCTCCTTGGAAACCCTATGGGGCAATTCTGCTCTGTCCTATAGGTTCACTATGAGTCGGAATCGACTCAACGGCAGTGGGTTTGGGTTTTTTTGTTTTTTTGTTTTGTACTATTTCTTGTAGAATTCCTGCCCCCCGCCCCACCTCCTGAATCTGTGGTACCAGTAATTTTCTTTCTTTTTAACCTCTGTCTCTAGGAGCCTCCTGAAGATGATGCAAACATCATCGAGAAGATCCTGGCATCTAAGACAGTCCAAGAGGTCAGTGACTCAGGTTTCTAGCTTTTATATCACTAGCACGGATTACACCCTTTATGAAGAGCTATTTGGCAGAGAACCTGGAATGGTCATTTTTAGCTGGAACGAGAACTAGACAAGAATATTGTCTGGCTAGTCAACATCTATTTTTGCTCTGAAAGATAATTTTAGGATATAAGATTCTTAAATATCTTGAGTATGGACCAAATTGACTTTCTCTTATTGTAATCCTAGCAAAAAGTATTTAGCCCTTAGTTGCTATAGCCCATTAAAGTCGGTAGAAGGCCAAGAAAAGGAGATGGAAAAAGAGTCCTAATGAAAGCATTGTGGTTTTTTTCTTTTCCTTCTTCTTCTTTCTTTCTTTAGACTATAAGGGTATCTCAGATCCATGGTAGGGTCCCTTAGAGAAAATTCCTGGAGAGGGAGAGTATAGTGGTACTGGTGAGAGCATAATTTCATCTTTACTTCAAGTATTTATGAAAATAAAGTTCTTTTAGAGTGAACAGTACTACTGTTTGGGAGGTGGGGTCGAGAGACATCAGAGATAAATGAACTCACTTTTGCACCAGGCTCTGGTCCTGACATTTCTCAGAACCCTGAGCCAGTTTGGGTTTATCAACTGAACCCTGTCTCAGCCTGACCTTGGAAGGACACATAGAGGATTTGAGTCCCTGTTTTACTTCATAGCTGTGCCTTTGGAAAACCTGGACCATAGCTGTCAGAAAAAGACCTGGGGAAATGGAAATATCCTCAAGAAATCTTTACTAAAGCCAGGCAGAGGTGTTGATTTACATTTTTGGGGGGGAGAGGGGCACCTGAGGGTGATTTGCAAGGGATCTGGGCTAATAACTGCTTTCTGCTGGTTACAGGTTCACCCTGGAGAACCCCCATTTGACTTGGAGCTATTCTACGTTAAGTATAGAAATTTGTACGTCTATTTAATGTTATTTGTATTTTGTATGAATAAAACTTCCTTTCTCTCATCACACTGTTATCTTCTATACTTTCAGAGAATGGCCCCTAAGGCATGACCTACAGATCTTGATTGACTCGAGCTCACCTTAGGCAGTAGTGTCAACTCTGGCTGCACACAGCGCACATAGAGAGCTTTTTAAAACTACTGAAGCCCTTGTTCCACCCAAGACCAGTTGACTCAGATTCTGGGAGGGGGTGCCACAAGAATCAGTGTTTTTTAAAAACTCCTTGGGCAGTTCTCATTTGCACCAAGAGTGGAGAACCATTGTCCAATAACATAAACACTTTTTTTCCTCTTTGCATTTCTCCCTCCTTCACTACTACCTACCCACTTTAACTAATGTGTATTAATGATAGCCTGCCTACACCTTCCCACCCTCTGCTCTGAGCCAGTTTCTGTAGAAGCTACAGAGAGATCAGTTGCTTAGAATTATTCCCTTGTTTTATTTTGTTTTCTCTTTTGCTTTTGAGGGTAAAGCCTTTCTAAGCCCAATCCCCAGCAGTTTTACAATAAACCACTCTACTGCTTCTGTGTTAGATGGCCATTCTGTTTTTTGAACACCTTAAAGCTCAGTCATTTGCTAGCTATATGCTTGTTTCACAACTTATATGTCTTTGGATAGTTCCTACTTACATTGTAAATGGGCCACAATGGAAGAGCTCGAGAAGGATCCTCGCATCGCACAGAAGATCAAGCGATTTAGGAATAAACAAGCCCAGATGAAGCACATTTTTACTGAGGTAAAGCAATATTTACTCACTCATTTGATTGCTGCCTTTTCTTGCAGTATTGAGTTCTGGATTTCAGTTTCTAAATTTCTAAGTCCGGGTTGACGTCCTATGCAGATCTGTTGCTCAAATCAGATTGCTAAGTGCAAAACTAGTCCAGATTTAAGCTAAAGGAAGCAAATTATCCACCAGTGTATGAAGATTAGATTTTATAAACTGACCATTTATATGAACATGTATCTTGGCCAGAATACCTATAAATAGCTAGGACAAGAGGAATGTGCACACAATTTTTCATCTCTTCTCCATCCCCCACCCCCAAGTTAATTCCAAAATGACTTTAAGGTTTTAATATAAAAGCAACGAAGATAAAAGTGTTACAAGTAAACATAAATAAATAATTATATCTATATAAACTTGGGAATTTCTAAGTATCATACATACAGCAAGAGGAAGGATTGATGAATTTGAATGTTAAACAAATCTGTACTGTCTACACATTGGGAAATGCCACAAATATTAAAGTAAATAATTAGGAAAAATGAGTATGAATGTATATGTATATACACTACGTACATACACATTTTTCCTTCAGATCCTTCAGTACTAACTGTATACATACACAAGTGTGTTTAGGATACATTCTTCTTCCCCAGTATGGAAACCTTCCTGTTTATATTTACGCCACACATATACACAGACACATGACAAATAACTTTACTGATAAGAAATGCTTTTATAACTCAAGAAAAATATAAAACTTCGAATAGAAAAAATGGACAAAAGAACAGGCAGTTCAGAAAGAAGGAAAAATTGATCATTAACCATACAAAAATGTAGTCAGTTTCACTAGTAATCAAATAAGTGCAAATTGAAATGAGAATCTTCCATTTTTTACTTATCACATATTTGAAGATTTAAAAACAGGTATTATCCATTGCTAATGAGGGCCTAAGGAAGGCAACACTCACTGGGTGGGAGTGTCACTTAATTTGACCTGTCTGGAAAACATTATGGCCAGGCATCAAATGTCTCCAAATTTGCCTATCCTTTGTCCCAACAGTTCTATTTCTGTATTTATTTTAAGAAAATCATCAAGTCTTTTCACAAAGATTTAACTATGATGAAGAGTTGTTTATCATGGTAAAACATGGAAAACAGCCAAAATGTTAGATAATAAGCATTTGTTAAATTATAGTACATTCTGTAGGGTGGAATACTGTGCAGCTAATAAAAATTATATTGGAGAATGATTGATGAATGGAAAGATGCTTAGTGTTATAAACTACTATTAGTTGAAAATGTCACACTCTAACAGTGTTTATGGGACCGTTCCTTTGGGGGGCAATGCAGAAAAAAGCTCCATATTAATGTATAGAAAATGTCTTGAATATACATGAAAATGCTGACATCGTTTTCTCTGACTGATGGGATCATGGTGATTTTTTTTCTTTTTTTTTAAAACATATAATTTCAAATTTTTATGCAGATAACTTTTATAATAAGAAAAGAAACAAACAAAAGCATTCTTAAAATGTGAAGTCACTAGTACCAGATCCTGAAAGTATACTCAGATGCCATCAAATTAAATTGCTGCATATGCTTAACTCATTCATTGTTTATATTGTGCTTCTTTTCCTCAAGTAACAAAAAGTTGATTGTTTTAGGATAATGCCAATAAACATTCTTATTGCAACAAACAGTAAGAATGGGGTTCTTTCCATCTAGCCTTAAAGTTTGGCCCCAGCTCTGCCCATGATTGTTTTAAAGCATATGAGAACTGATTTTCATGGTACTGTTCTTCCAGTAGAGTTCGGGAAAGGAACATGACTAGATTTGGAAGAGCCATTCGTGAAGCCCTGATGGACACTCCCTCTATTCTTGCAACATTTAATCACACCTCTGTTTTAGCAAGTATTTGCAGTGTAGTGACTTGTTTACATGTCTCTTTCTTCCACTTCCACTTTAAGCCCTGGAGGCAAACAGAGCCCATGTCTTCCTCGTATTTCCATCACTGGTACTAGGCACAGGGTCAGTGATCAGTAATTGTTTGGCTGTCCCTAGGTAAGGCAGGAGGGTTTGCCATATGCCATTCCCCTGCTTCAGATCCTTCAGCACTAAAGGTTTTCTTGGGAAGAAAGTCCAAACTCCTTCATGTGGCCTGCAAAGCCCCATGCGTCTGTTTTCTGATTTATTCCCAAGACAGCGATTTTTTTCCTTATTTGGGAATAAAGAGAGGAAACTGTGTTAGGGTGTCTAGAAATAACATGACAAGAACTCACTTTTGGGACGGAAAGGCTTTTGAGTAGATTGAGAAGGACAGTGTGCAGTTTAAGAGGAGTTACAGTGGAGAGTAGTTCCTACAGCACTGTCTTTGGTCTTGACCTATTCTACATTTTTATCAACAACTTGGCTGAATAACGTTGTTACAATACAGATTATAGCTTAGTTTCAAATAGAACATCTTCATATCCATTATCTCATAGCCACCTATGAGGGAGCTAGGGCACATGTGAAGGAGATTCGGGCTCAAGAGGCTGCGATTTTCCCGACACAGGTAGAGGTCTTCTGACTCTAAACCCTGACGCCTTGTGAGAACCCAGATTTTCTAATCTGACACAACACTGGAGAGTAAATGACAAAATCAAAGTTCAGATTTACTGGACAGGCTAAAATGAATGAAATATATTGCGAATACATAAATGTAATGTCCTACATTTATGTTTTAAAAATTTGGTACAGCTGTGGAGTGGAGACAATGACTGGGTAGCAGTTCTAGGAGAAAAAAAGATACGGCCAATTTAATTACCTATGCTTTACTGTGTGCCGAGAGTGGGATTTGACTGCTTAAACAAGTAAAGGTAATCCTAGACTGCACCAGGAGAACAGTCCTGTTTCGTTTTTCTCCTTTCAGTCATAAGTGTTATATTCATTTGGGTACCAAGATTCAATGAGGGACTTTGCAAACTATAGAGGGCAGTTGCAGGAGGGTTGTAATGGTGGGGAAGGAGGCAGAAGCACAGCTTAGTGATGAGAGCAAAGGTGGAAAGCGGACTGCGTGAAGCTAAGAGCCGGGGCTCTGGAGTCAGGCTGCCAGGGCACAGGTTCCAGCTCCCCCACCTCACAGCTGTGTGGCCTTAGGCCATTTGCATGAGCTCCTTCAGACTCAGTATCGGACTCTGTGTAAAATGGGACTCATAATAGTTCCACCTCACAGAATACCTGCAAGATTAAATGACACAGTGTTTATGGAAGCACTTAGCATAGTGCCTGGCTTATAGTCAGTATTTCATAAATGTTACCCATCTGAATCATTAAGGGGCCTGGAAACGTGGCATCTGAAGAGCAAAAAGGGTTATTTAACCCTGATAGAGAGGAGATTGCTGCTTTCAGATCTTTGAAGAGCCAACACAGAGAGGCGAGAATCAACTTATTTCCTGCTGCTATAGAGGAAGCAGTTCACAGCAATGAGTCACAATTATAAAGAAGGAAATGAGGCTGTAATTTAATAATGGTAATGATAAAGATCACAATACTACCACTAGATAGGGAAAGATAAAACTGTCTCAGGAGTGGATCGGGCCTTAGGGGATAGTAAATTTCTTGACAGGAATAATTGAATCTGAGGGTGGATTTGCCAGGGATGTTGTAATACAGATTCTTATATTGATTAGAAGATGAAACTAGATAGCCTTTAAAGGGCTTTCCAGCCTAAGAGACAGTAAGGAGAGTTCAGTGGTTCCAGGAGAAGGTTAATAAAGACTTGGGTGTATGTTCCAGCTCACACAGCTCTGTGACCTTGGTCACATTACTTAACCTCTCTGAGTCAGCTTCCTCACGTGAAGTCATCATAGCACCTGTTCTATCAGGTAGCTTTGAGGCTTAAGTAAAAGCACTCAGCATAATTCTGGACACAATAAATATTCCTAAATGTTACTTATTATTGCTTTTTAAGTAAACTTTTTTGTTGAAGCATTATATGCATAATGATAAATAAACAAATCATTAAGTCTACAGCTCAATGAGTGTTTACAGACTGCACACATCTGTGTATCTACCACCTAGATCAGAAGTAAATAGGACCTTATCAGTACCTCAGAAGCTCCCCTCATGCCTCCTCCCAATGTTAGCTATTATTGTTCTTGTTATTAAGAATTTTTGTAAGAAACTAATTCTGAGTTTCCAAGGGCTATCTTTGGACAAGGAGTAGAAAGATAAAAGAACCTTCTTGTGTAAATGTTTGCACAGTACTATACTGACCAACAGGAAAGACTTACCCTGGCTGTGGTGCAGCCTCTCATCTGAAGCATGGTTGAGTATTTTGCATTTAGTCGCAGAGAGTAGGATTTGGGAACAGTGAAGAAATGTCTGTAAAGTGACTTTTACTCTCAAGTGAACCCTTGCTTTCTGTGTTTCCTGATAGGGCCCAGGGAGGTACTGGTCACTTAAAGATCAAACACTAAGTGTTGGATTTGAGGGAAGGGGGACACTTTTAACTGTTCTCCTTTGTTTGCATTAGCCTGATGAAGACTTGTTCAATCCAGACTATGTAGAAGTTGATCGCATCTTAGAGGTGGCCCACACCAAGGATGCAGAAACAGGAGAGGTGGGTATTTTGCCATATTGCATTTCCTACTGTGTCTTCCCTTCTTACCATTTATCTTGGGGGAATGCTGTTTTGTTAACTTGTGGCCTTTATTTTAATGGCATTCATGTGTTGTGTCATAGAGTAGTTTTTCAGAGGCCAGCCAGAGTTTGATCGACCCATTTAAACTAGGAGAAAGAACATAAGTTTCTCTCTTGTGTTTCCCACCAGGAGGTGACACATTACCTGGTGAAGTGGTGCTCACTGCCATATGAAGAAAGCACGTGGGAGCTAGAGGAAGATGTGGATCCTGCAAAAGTGAAAGAATTCGAGTCTCTTCAAGTTCTCCCTGAAATTAAGCACGCGGTAGTGTATCTCTGTTTTGTACCATTTCTAACGTGTTATTTTATGAACTTGGTAATCATGGTGTCCATTTCTCTCAGCTCCTAAGTGGTTTTTGTGGTATGTTACCTTTGGCCACCCAGCAGTTTAGGGTGTTTCCCTCCCTCAATCAAACTTCGCTAGCTCCCCATTCAGCTTTAAATCTGGGCTCTAGTTTGATGTATGTGACATATAAGAAGCTGCGATATGAGCTTAGAATTTCTTGGTGCATGGCTGTTGTGTGGAGTCAGTAAGCTAGAACATGTGAGAAATGCCTGGCTTCTTCTTTCCTATTTCCTGTTTCTTATATCTTGCTCCATCAGTGATCTGGTTTTTTGTTTGTTTGTTTTTTTCTCTTTTGCCTTCACTCAACTGGAGGGTTCTTAAGATGAGAAGCTGTCCTTTATTTGTAGATTCCTGGCACCTCACAGAGAGAACATAGGTTCTCAGTATATGTTTATTGGATCAATTTGTTTTTCCAATTCTGGATTCTTACCACCAAGCTGCAAAGATGCCCCAGGGTTCCTGAGAAGTAGTTATATAGAGAGTAACGTAGTTCAAAAAAGGTATTGAGAGCCTGGTTAAAGTGTAACTAACTTGGGAAGAGAATCAGTTAATAAAGAATATGACTGTAATCTGGCTTGATCACAATTTATGTTTTAAAAAAAATCATTTTTATATGAAGAACTCTTATCTGGTTCTTTGTTACAGTAAAACCTGCAAAAGCCAGTACCTGTGTAAGGCAGAAACCTGTCAGAGAAAGAAAGCTCAAAGACATTATTTTCTACTAATAGAGAACGATAGAAAAGTGGTAACACTGCACCCTGTCAAAGACAGAAAACTTGCGAGACCTAGAAAAACAAGTCAGTCCTGTTGAGTTCCAGCTTTCACAGGCTTCACTGTAGTAACATTTGTTGTTTTTACATCTCTAGAGAGTTGGGACTCAGACTAGACTGTGAAATTAAACTTAGATCCTTGTCAGAGTCCATTCAAAAGCAGTGGGTTTTTTTATTTAGGTTTTGTTTTGTCTTGTTTTGGACATATTAAGGTGCTTAGAGGTATCTTGATATGGAAAAATGTGATCAGAAATTTATATAGCTTATAGTGTTATGTCTGCATGATCAACTATTAAATTTCTCTTTCAGCCATCTCCAGTTTTTCTAACAGTTGTTGGTTTTTAATTCAGTTTGTCAGTCATTTATTAAGCATTTGCTTTGAGTTGATTCTTGTGTGAGATACAATAAGGAACAAAGTAAAGGCCCTGCCTGAGGAGCCCACAATCTAATGGAAGAGGCATGTATGCACATGGACAAATACGGCAGCAGGCTGGTTATGATGTATGGCACAATGCAGAGACAAACTACAGGGGAAGCAGAGCCTAGAGAGAGTTTCATTCTGAAGAAAATTATAAGTTATCATCTAGAAGTAATCAGGATTCTTATGCACTCTCTCAGCCTCCTAGTATTTCCTCAGTCTGACTACATGCTTTGGCAAGAGCTTTCAGACGATTTCACGTTTCCTTTACTTTGCCATTTGTGATACTGCTGTCCTTCCCGTCTCCTACTGAACCATGGTATTGTCTCACACTAGTCATTTTTTTCTAATTTATTTATTCTCATTTAAAATGGACATTCTGAAATTTTAACTCAGAAGTTCTAAATTGAAATGGTACCTAAAAATATAATTAAAACTTTGTTAAAAGGGCGGGCTCCGAATGGTACTTCACCTGAATAACTTTTCTTTTTTTTTAAAGGGGATCCTATTCTGTACTTTGAAGTGTAGAGGTGACCCTCCCTGTCTTTATGAATAAGATACTCTATACCTAAAAACTTTTTGGTAAAAATTGGTAGCTTATAGATAAAACATTGAATTTTGAGACAGCAAAAAACGAAGGTGTCAGTAATGACAGTGCAAAGGGAGAGAAGCAGTCACTTAATAAGCAGGACCTACCTTAGAGACAATTGAGATGTTTCAACAAATGATGCAGCTCTGGAAGTGCTCACTCATCTATCCCAAGAAGTTTGGAAGACAGCTACCTAGCCAACCAACTGGAAGAGATCCATATTTATGCCTATTCCCAAGAAAGGTGATCCAACCGAATGCAGAAATTATCAAACAATATCATTAATATCACATGCAAGTAAAATTTTGCTGAAGATCACTCAAAAGCGGTTGCAGCAGTACATTGACAGGGAACTGCTGTAAATTCCAGTAGGATTCAGAAGAGGACTTGGAACCAGGGGTATTATTCCTGATGTCAGATGGATCCATTCTGAAAGCAGAGAATACCAGAAAGATGTTTACCTGTGTTTTATTGACTATGCAAAGGCATTTGACTATGTGGATCATAACAAATTATTGATAACATTGAGAAGAATGGGAATTCCAGAACACTTAATTGTGCTCATGAGGAACCTGTGAACAGATGAACAGGTAGTCGTTCGAACAGAACAAGGGGATACCATGTGGTTTAAAGTCAGGAAAGGTATGCATCAGAGTTGTATCCTTTCACCATACCTATTAAATCTGAAGCTGAAAACATAACCTTGCTTGCTGACAGTGAAGAGGAGTTGAAGTACTTACTGATGAAGATCAAAGACTACAGCCTTCAGTATGGATTACATCTCAACATAAAGAAAATAAAAATTCTCACAACTGGACCAATAAGCAACATCATGACAAACAGAAAAGATTGAAGTTGTCAAGGATTTCATTTTACTTGGATCCACTATCAACACCTATGGAAGCAGCAGCCAGGAGATCAAAAGATGCATTACTTTGGGTGTATCTGCTGCAAAAGACGTCTTTAAAGTGTTGAAAAGCAAAAATGTCGCCTTGAAGACTAAGGTGCACCTGACCCAAGCCGTGGTGTTTTCAGTCACCTCATATGCATGCGAAAACTGGACACTGAATAAGGAAGACCACAGAAGAATTGATGCCTTTGAATTGTGGTGTTGGCAAAGAATATTGAATATACCATGGACTGTCAAAGGAATGAACAAATCTGTCTTGGAAGAAGTACAGCCAGAATGCTCCTTAGAAGCAAGGATGGCCAGACGACATCTCACATACTTTGGACGTGTTATCGGAGGGATCAGTCCCTGGAGAAGGACATCATGCTTGGTAAAGTAGAGGGTCAGTGAAAAGAGGAAGACCCTTAATGAGATGGATTGACACAGTGGCTGCAACTGTGGGCTCAAGAATAACAATGATTGTGAGGATGGCACAGGATTGGGCAGTGTTTCATTGTGTTGTACATAGGGTCACTATGAGTTGGAACCGACTCGACAGCACCTAACAACAACAGCCTTGGAGGCACCAAGAGACAAATTCCTCCCTCTGGGATTTAGCTGAGGAGCCACTGAAGATGTGGAACCCTGGAGTAACTTGCTTCCTGTAGTATATACCTCTTAGCAGCCATCCAGACTAGGTACCAGAAACTGCTAGCTGATTTTAGGACTTGTGCTTAGATGGCTGAAATTTCTGGCTAGTAGGTGATTGATGTAAAGCTAAAACCTTTAGCACTGGTGAAATAAGTGAAGTCCAGAACCACAACTACCATGACCTCCACCAGAATCAGTCTAGTACAATTAGATGGTGCCTGGCTACCACCACTGACTGCTCTGACAGGGATCATAGTAGAGGGTCATGGACAGAGTTGGAGAAGAATGTAGTACAAAATTCTAACTCACAAAAAAAGACCAGACTACTGGCCTGACAGAGACTGGAGAAACCCTGAGAGTGTAGCCCCCGGACACTCTTACAGCTCAGTAATGAAGTCACTCTTGAGGTTCACCCTTCATCCAGAGATTAGACAGGCCTATAAAACAAAATAATACTAAAGGGGCACACCAGCCTAAGGGCAAGACTAGAAGGCAGGAAGGGACAGGAAAGCTGGTAATAGGGAACCCAAGGTAGAGAAGGGAGAGTGTTGACATGTCATGAAGTTGTTAACCAATATCATAAAACAGTATGTGTACCAACTGTTTAATGAGAAGCTAGTTTGTTCTGTAAACCTTAATCTAAAGTACAATTACATGGGGTTGTTAACTATTGTCATAAAACAATGTGTGTACTAACTTTTTAATGAGAAACTGTTTGTTCTGTAAACCTTCATTCTAAAGTACAATAAAAAATAAAGTACAATTAAAAAAAAAAGTGAAGTCAAGAGGAGTGACTATATCAGAGTATCATGCTTCTACATCTTGTTGTTGGTAGGTGCCCTTGAGTCGGTTCCAACTCATAGCAACCCTGTGTACAACAGAATGAAACACTGCTCAGTCCTGTGCCATCCTCACAGTTGTCATTATGCTTGAGCCCATTGTTGCAGCCACTGTGTCAGTCCATCTTGTTGAGGGTCTTCCTCTTTTTCACTGACCCTCTCCTTTACCAAGTGTGACATCCTTCTCTAGAGACTGGTCCCTCCTGATAACATACCCAAAGTACATGAGACGAAGTCTCACCATCTTCACTTTTGAGGAGTGTTCTGACTGTACTTTTTCCAAGATAGATTTGTTCATTCTTTTGACAGTCCATGGTATATTCACTGTTCTTTGCCAGTACCATAATTCTGAGGCGTCAGCTCTTCTTTGGTCTTCCGTATTCATTGTCCAGCTTTTGCATGCATATCAGGTGATTGAAAATACCACAGCTTGGGTCAAGTGCACCTTAGTCCTCAAAGTGACATCTTTGCTTTTCAGTTTAATAAAGATGTCTCTTGTGGCAGATTTGCCCAATACAATGTGTCATTTGATTTTCTTACTGTTACTTCCATGGACATTGATTGTGGATGCAAGTAAAATGAAGTCCTTGACAACTTGAGTCTTTTGTTCGTTTATCATGATGTTGCTTATTGGTCCAGTTGTGAGGATTTTTGTTTTCTTTATGTTGAGGTGCGATCCATACTGAAGGCTATAGTCTTTGATCTTCATCAAAGTGCTTCAAGACCTCTTCCCTTTCAGCGAGCAGGGTTGTGTCATCTGCATATCTCAGGTTGTTAATGAGTCTTCCTCCAATCCTGATGCCACATTCTTCATATAGTTCAGCTTGGATTATTTGCTTAGCATACAGATTGAATAAGTGTGGTGAAAGGATACAATCCTGATGCACACTTTTCCTCACTTTAAACCATTGTTCTGATCGAATGACTGCCTCTTGGTCTATGTACAGGTTCCTCATGAGCACAATTCAGTGTTCTGGAATTTCCATTCTTCACATTGTTATCCATAATTTGTTATGATCCACATAGTCAGATGCTTTGGCATAGTTAATAAAACACAGGTAAACATCTTTCTGGTATTCTCTGCTTTCAGAATGGATCCGTCAGACATCAGTAGTGATATCCCTGGTTCCACGTCCTCTTCTGAATCCGGCTTGAATTTCTGGCAGTTCCCTGACAGTGTACTGCTGCAGCCGCTTTTGAGTGATCTTCAGCAAAATTCTACTTGTGTGTAATATTATTGATATTGTTCGATAATTTCCGCATTCTGTTGGATCACCTCTCTTTGGAATGGGCACAGATATGGATCTTTTCCAGTCGGTTGACCAGGTAGCTGTCTTCCAAATTGCTTGGCATAGATGAGTGAGCATCTCCAGAGCTGCATCCATTTGTTGAAGCATCTCAGTTGGTATTCCATCAACTCCTGGAGCCTTGTTTTTTGCCAGTGCCTTCAGGGCAGCTAGAACTTCTTCCTTCAGTACCATTGGTTCTTGATCATATGCTGTCTCCTGAAATAGTTGAACGTTGACCAGTTCTTTTTGGTACAGTGACGCTGTGTATTCCTTCCATCTTTT